ACAAGTCTTAAAGTTGCCAAGGTTGGACACCCCTGGTCTAGACCATGGTCCCTAAACCTTAAAGCCTAACACTGCCCAATAAGTCTTGATTATTTTTGGGTCTTCTTTCAAATACCATCATTCCCCAAAATACGACCTACCCTGAAAACAAGCCCTAGCCCGATTTTTAGGCCTGTGCCTAATATAAGCCCTACACTTCAAATAAGCCCTAGTTAGACTCCACCCACTATCTGGTTATATGATGTGGAGCAAGGCGCACGAATAAAAAAACAAGCTAAGGTGGGGTGAGGTTGATGGCCTCCATGCACTCCACACCCACTTATATTAGGTCCCAGTCTTATTTTGTTTTGGGTCCCCAAATAAGCACCAGGTCTTATTTTCAGGGGATGTCTTACCCGCTTACGTTAGGAACAATGCAGCCATGCCTCCCACACTCCGACACCTGTCATGCCACTGGCTGACTTCTTCTGCATTGGTATGACAAGCCTCGTGGTGTATTGCAGCGGCACCACTGAGCTGTGAACGATGGCACCAGTGTGATGTACCATGTGGTGTCTGGCTGCAAGTGGCCGCAAGCAGCCACAAAAGGTGTCAGGGCATGAGAGGAGTAGCTGCGGTGTTCCTAAAGTAAGCGGGCAAGACATCCCCTGAAAATAAGACCTGGTACTTATTTTGGGACCCAAAACAAAATAAGACTGGGACCTAATATAAGTGGGTGTGGAGTGCATGGAGGCCATCAACCTCACCCCACCTTAGCTTGTTTTTTTATTCGTGCGCCTTGCTCCACATCATATAACCAGATAGTGGGTGGAGTCTAACTAGGGCTTATTTGAAGTGTAGGGCTTATATTAGGCACAGGCCTAAAAATCGGGCTAGGGCTTGTTTTCAGGGTAGGTCGTATTTTGGGGAATGATGGTATTTGAAAGAAGACCCAAAAATAATCAAGACTTATTGGGCAGTGTTAGGCTTTAAGGTTTAGGGACCATGGTCTAGACCAGGGGTGTCCAACCTTGGCAACTTTAAGACTTGTGGACTTCAACTCCCAGAATTCCTCACCCAGGAATGCTGGGAGTTGAAGTCCACAAGTCTTAAAGTTGCCAAGGTTGGACACCCCTGGTCTAGATCCTGAAGACTATGTCTAAAACCTGAAGCCCCAAACTGCCCAACAGAAACTGGTCATGGAAGTCTACACCAGCATAATCTAGACCTGCTTTTAAAAAAAATGATCCTGCCTTTATTATTTTTTATAAATAACTCATAACTCAACATGGTGAGCATCGGTCATCCTTCTTCCCCTTCCCCTTTGAAGTGATTTGGGTTGAGAAAGTGTCACTAGTTCAAGGTCACCTGTGCCTAAAATGGAACTAGAACTCAGTCTCCTGGTTTCTAGCCTCATGCCTTAACCACTAGATCAAACTGACTCTCCATAGATATAAATATAATAGTATATCTTTTGTGTTCCGTCTGATACCAACGATAGATTGCTTACATCTAATGAGAGAAGATTCCTTTTTAATAGTTGTGGTGGCCAGAGGTGGTATTCAGCAGGTTCTGACCAGTTCTGGAGAACCGGTAGCAGAAATTTTGAGTAATTTGGAGAAGCGGCAAATCCCACCTCTGACTGGCCCCACCCCCATCTATTCTCTGCCTTCTGAGTCCCAGCTGATTGGCTGGGTCTTCTTTGGTTGCCCTGCATAGGAGAATGGAGCTGGAAAGCAGGTTAGTGGGATGGGGAGGGAATGAGAATTTTGCAGTAACCTTCCCCCAGGGGTGAGGAGGAAATGGAGATTTTACAGTATCTTTCCCCTGCCACACCCACCAAGCCATGCCCACAGAACTGGCACTAAAAAATTTTGAATCCTACCACTGGTGGTACCCATACCATCACACAAGATTGCATGCTGGTACCTGGCATCTGAAAAGAATGGCTGGCCTCTTATTATTAAAGAAGACCTTACTTTATTTCTTAACTGTCTTTACTTTACTTAGGACTAAGAATACCAAATTGTTTCCCTGAGATTCCCTTGAATCTCAAGGCCCTTCACCATCATTATTCTGATTATCAAAGCTGGGCCATATTTCTAGATTTATCTCTGATCTCTGGTTTGACAATTTACAGAGAAGTTGAGCATTCTTTTAAAATGTTACTGCGCATACACCTATATGAAAAGCTGGGCAGAATTGCCAGATTGACTCATTCATTCAAAAACTCAGAGATAAGCATGCAATGGGTCAGAGCAGTAAATTATTTCTCTAATAAGTTTTGGGGGATTTACCTTTCTCATAGCTGTACCTCCTTGGCGCTCAGCAACAGAGCTGACATACCTGCAAAAGAGATCATGGAAGAAAAGATTTCAAATACACAAACAGAACGAATAATAAATGCCATTTATACTGGTTACACAGTGACAGGTGGCAGAAATTCCTGCTGGCTCTATGAGCTAGGCTGCCTGGCACGTCTCTCATTGCTCATGCAAGTTTTAGCCCAAAAGGATCAATGAAAAAAAAGCAGTTTGGAATCATTTGGCATTCTGGCAAGAACTGGACACACCACGGAAGTCATTCAGTTACTTGAACAAGGGGTTTGTTGGGAAGTAGATTTTTTTTTTTAAGTCTTTAGGATTCTAGTTTGGAAAGGACTGGGTTGGTGGAGGGAATTCAGCCCCAGAAATGTGAAGCCATAACATATGACTAATGGTTGCAGGAATTGGATATATCTAGCTTAATGAGAAGACTAAGGGTGAGGTGATAGTAGTGCTCCAGTATCTCAGGGGCTGCCCCAAAGAAGAGGGAGTCAAGCTATTCTCTAAAGCACCTGAAGGCAGGACAAGAAGTCATGGGTGGAAACTAATCAAGGAGAGAAGCAACCTAGAACTAAGGATACATTTCCTGACAGTAAGAACAATTAATCAGTGGTACAACTTGCCCTCCAGAAGTTGTAAATGCTCCAACACTGGAAGTTGTTAAGAAGAGACTGAACAACCATTTGTCTGAAGTGGTGTAGGGTCTCCTACTTGGGCAGGGGGTTGGACTAGAAGACCTCCAAGGTCCCCCTACCAACTCTGATATTCAGCTAAGTTGTGGATGCTCCATCACTGGAGACTTTTAAGAAGAGACCGGATAACCATGTGTGGCATAGGGTCCATTGCTTTAGCAGAGGATTGGATTAGAAAACTTTAAAGGTTAATACTCTTCCAATGCTGTTATTCTATTTATATCACCCCCACCTCAAAATCTTTAGGTATAGCCAAGGGTGGGCTGCTGGGGGTTTGCAGGGCTTCGGGAGAGCCCCTAGCTATGATTCTGTGCAGTTTGGAGAACCCCCAAATCCCACTCCTGGATGGCCCCACCCACCACCCACAAATCAGGTGTGAGGTGCAGTGCACGTAAGGGGGCAGCGGTGGGGGAATTGCGGGCGCAGGCGCAAGGAGCATGGGGGGGCACTCATTGCCTTCTGGGTGCTGGCACACGAGCGTGTAAGCGAAGCGCACGCAAATTTTTTGGCACAGGACCCCAAAAAGGTTAGCCACCACTGATTTAGGGAATGCTTTAAAGTGTGTTGAACTTCAGAGGCCCAAGATGAATTTTATTTGATATATATCTAAGTGTCTGCCTTTGTCTCTATCTACGAGGCTGAAAATTAATGATTTTGCTGTCAAATTTTGGCAGACTAATCATGAATAAAGGAGCCACAAAGAGTGAACTTTGTCCACCTGTATCTCTGAAAACTGCTGGGATTTTCATACCCTCCAGGCTTGGTGCAGTAAGTTTCTCCTAATTCTAAGCATTGCTCTAACTAATCTGAAACTTGTCAGTTCCAATGCTTCTCCTCATTTTTTATGATCAGTGCCCATCTGGACAAAATCCTGCTGAGACAAAGGTTGATTCTGTGTTGTGAAACCAGAATACAGAATTGAATTCTTGCAAGAGAATCACGCGGCTGTTTTCTTTGCCTATATAGAAAGTCCTGTTTAGAGTGACGGTTGACCTAATCAACTGTAACTATAGAATACGTCCACAAATAATCTCAGACATCAAGCTTTTCCCACATGGGGAGCAGATCAGCATATGGAAACTACAGGTCTTAAACAAATTTGAGGAACCACTGCACTGGGTTTATACCATGTGACCATCTAGGTAAAAACAGGACTGGCTATTTTGTGGTTGAGTCTTAGACAAACTCAGCTGTTATCCTATCATATGAAGCAGACTGTCTTGATGTCTATATAGATTCTCAATCATCCAGGTCATGGTGTTATGGTTCGCTGGCAGCAGGTGTGAATGGCTGAGGTCTCTGAGAGCGAGGACTCGGATGAGGGGCCTGCGTGTGATGCAGGGATGGGGCCACGACTATCAGAGTGGGGTGTTGCCTTTGGAGCTTGTGGAGACTGGCAGCAGTGATGAAGAGGACCCTGGGGTGCCTGTGTTCAGTGTGTGTGCATGCAGGGCAGCTGCATGGGTAACTCGGGAGTAAGGCTGCAAGGTGATGGCTCCTCCTATAAGGGATAAAAGCCAGCCTTCGGGGTTGGCTTCTTTGCAGGAAGCAAAGAAGTTCTTTCAAGTCCAAGTTCTCGTGGAAATCCTGTCTGTTCTGGTTTGTGTTTGGAGATTTTTGGTTTGGAATATTTCTCTGTAGTTAATCTTGTATTCTTGGAAGCCTTTCATAACCTTAAAAGGGCTTACTCTTATCTGGGAATATTCGTTTTAATGCCTCTTTGCTGTGAATGAACAGAATTCACAGAGACACATTTAAAAGGTTTCTTTTTATATATACTTTGTGTTTATTTGATTTGAATGAGGCTTGGGTCAGAACACATGGTTGTCCCAAAGTCCACCAGAAGAATTAATCAGTGGAGCAACTTGGCTCCAGAGGTTGTGGGAGCTCCAGCACTGGAGGCTTTTAAGAAAAGATTGGACAACTATAGCATTTCCTGTCTGAGCAGGGGGGTTGGACTAGAAGACCTCCAAGATCCCTTCCAACTCTGTTATTCTGTTAACAATGCTTGTGAGAAGAAAGACAATGGAGATTTATAAAGCTGTCCATGATAGGGTCAGAGTTCTTCGATTGCAGGAAATATGACTTCAGTAACAGAGTGGTCAATGCCTGGAATGCATTACCTGACTCTGTGGTCTCTTCCCCAAACTTCCCAAACTTTAACCTTAGACTGTCTACTGTTGACCTCACCCCATTCCTAAGAGGTCTGTAAGGGGCGTGCATAAGAGCACCAATGTACCTACTGTCCCTGTCCTAATGTTTCCCTGTTATTCATACCCATTTCATGTACTCTTAATCATGTTTCCAATTATATCTGTTATCTAAAACATGGTTGACAAATAAATAAGAGTGGATGTAGTAAAGCTTTTGCTTCCCTTTTGTAATGCTGTTACTCAGGGTCATCCCTTGAAACTTTGTGATAAGAGGTAAAGTAACACCTTGCGCAGCCCAGTGACAGGTTCCCCTCTAAGTTCTCAGGGCACAAGAACTTAATACTGTGTGACCCAGATCTTGCGCTCTTCATTTCACAGCTCCTACAGGGATCCACGCGTCCTACCTAAACAGCATTTAGGCAGCCATTTCAGAACCTGTATCAAATCTAGAAAGCTGCTGGACTTTGACTTATCATTCCAGCGCAGGGCACAGCTGCATGCTGAGCCAGAAGGATCCAAAAAACAACAACAACCCCTCCTCTTTTCTTCTCTCTATTTTTTTTTGAGGGCATCATTGGCTTAAGCAGCAGGAGAGCCAGCTCGCTGCTGATTTGGCTACAGCCAGGCATTCCTTCAGGGTCAGCTGTTTGAAACATCGGTGGGAGAAAACCTCAGCTGTGACGGAAAGGCCTCTCTTGACTTCCTGCGGCTTTTGGACTGAACCCTGCCGAGCACAAAGGCCAAAGAAGCAGTGCCTTCCTGGCTGAACAAAAGAGGAAGAGATTGGGTTTGCATCCCGCCAATTTAGAAACTCACGCTGGTCTGCTGACTGAAGAAATACACAAAATTGTCTGCTACAACGTCTTGCCTGTCAACGACTTCTTCAGCCTCGATCACAACAATACCAACGGCAAACAACCGATACAAACTCAAAGTAAACCACTCCAAACTCGATGGCGGAAAATACGACTTCAGCAACAGAGTGGTCAATGCCTGGAACGCCCTACCCAACTCCATTGTTACAGACTCAACCCCTTGCAGCTTCAACCTCAAACTGGACCTCAGAACGTCTCTTCTGAGTCAAACATCTCAGCCATCTTGGCCATCACATCTCAGCCATGGAGTCATAAGGGACAATTAAAGTGTCAGGTAGCCTAAAATCCATAATATGGCTAGAATAGAAGCCATTCTGATTTTAGAATACTAGGACTAGGGGTGACATGATAGCAGTCTTCCAATATCTCAGAGGCTGCCCTAAAGAAGAGGGAGTCAAGCTATTCTCCAAAGCACCTGAGGGCAGGTCAAGAAGCAATCAAGGAGAAAAGCAACCACGAACTAAGGATAAATTTCCTGACAGAGAGAACAATTAACCAATGGAACAATTTGCCCCCAGAAGTTGTGGATGATCCAACAATGGAGGTTTTAAAGAAGAGATTGGACAACCATTTGTCCAATCTCTTGAACAACCTGATCAGGGGGGTCCCTTCGAACTGTGTTATTCTCTTATTCATATTTTTGGCTCCTTCTTTTAGAGCAGGGGTCGCCAACCTTTTGGACCTCAGGGACCACCAAACTCATAATTTTAGATCCCAGGGACCACTATCCGGTTCTGTGGGCATGGCCTAATTTGTGGGTGTGGCTTCGTGGTCATGTGACTGGCTGGGCATGGCTTGTATATAAATATTATAAACATTTATATAAATATTGAATTTTTTATTTAAAAAAGAGCAACTTTTCCCAAAATCAGGCAAAGCAGGCAAATTGAGTTGCTCACAGAATCATTCAGTGATCTATCTATCTGCCATCGGCTAGCTCAGTCTCTCAAATTTGCTTGCCGTGAGTCTGCACTGAATTTGCTTGCAAGCAAAACTTCAGTCCTAAGGGAAGTTCGGCTGTGTTGAGCCAAAGATCTAAAGACTAGCTAGAAAGCAAGAAATCCAACCATTTCCTGCTTCCTAGCTCATCTAAATCTCCCAGCACAGCAGAACAGCTGATGGTCGGAAAGGGAAAAATAGAAATTTAGCAGGCAAGTTTACTGGGTAAGGAGTGAGTGGGCAGGGACGGTTCCTGTGGACTATGTGGCTGGCGCAGCCTTATGTTTCTGCACAACTTGGATTAATTGCTTTGTGGGGGTGCTCTGGGGGTGAGATTTCTCTGCGGCCCACCAAAATTTTCTC